ACTATAAATAGAAAATCTGTTCATGATGTTTTGCGATGTAGGTTAATTAACTTAGTTAACTTAGTGTATTCTGAACGCAGGCCTCATAGTCCATATCTATGTTATCTTAATAACAATGTTTTGATGTGACGTCACTCAAATGTTGTTATGATTCTCCTTTCATCACTTTCCCAAAATTTATCAATGCAGTTTTCGAAAGTTATTATATTTGGTGCTTGAATCATGTTTTCAGGTAGGGAATTCCAGTCGCTAACAATTCGTAGAGTAAATGAGTATTTCCCAACGTCCAGTCTGCTCCTTGATTTATCCAGACTGAGCGAATGTCCCGAGTCCTTTTATCTTGTAATCTTTCCTCCTATGGACATCATTCATTCCTGGCAGTAATTTGGTAGCTCTCCACAGGACACTTTCTAGTAGTTTGATATCCTGTTGTTTGTATGGTTTCTATACACAAGCCCAATACTCTAGATTGGGTTGAACTAAAGAATTATACAGTAGTCAGAATGATTTGTCATCTAAGTATGTATATGTTTTTTCTGATGGCTCTAAGTATTCGGTTTGCTTTGTTTACGGCGGCTTGTATATGATTTCTAAAACTTAATTGTCGACAATTATCCCAAGGTCTTTCTCTTCCATTTCCTCCGTTAGCGTTACTGTTGTTCTCAGACAATCAACATCTTGGTATTAATGCAGATCATTTCAACTTTACTTCTTTCCCGAATACGTTGTTTTGCATTTGTCTGGGTGGAATTTTGGCAACCATTTGTCCAACCGTTGTTGTGAATTGTCTAGGTCCTGGTGAACATCGCCATTGACCCTGGTGTCTTTATACAATTTAGTATCATCGGCCAAGAGTAGGACATTCAAATCAACAGAACAAACAATTATGGTCCAAGTACACTGCCTTGTGTCCATTCAGAGGTGTGACCATTAACAACAACTTGCTGTCGTCTTTTAGCCAAAAGCCTTTTATCCAGCTTACTAGTTCTGCTGACAATCCATATGATTTCTGTTTGCTGATTAGCCTTCTGTGGGGAACAGTGACAGGCCTTTACGATGTCCTTATAAACCACTTCGATTCCACCCCTTTATCAATGATTCTCGTCCAGTCACTAATAGTTTTAAGAATATTGAGTAAAGTGGACCTCCCTTTCATAAATCCAAATTGCTGAGTACTTAGAAGCTTGTTGTTTGTTCAATGTTCCATATTGCGGTTCCTTACAATTGTTTCCAACAGTTTGCCTATGATACTCGTTAAACTGACTGGTCTGTAGTTACCTATGATACTTGTTAGACTGACTGGTCTGTAGTTACCTATGATACTTGTTAGACTGACTGGTCTGTAGTTACCTATGATACTTGTTAGACTGACTGGTCTGTAGTTACCTATGATACTTGTTAGACTGACTGGTCTGTAGTTACCTATGATACTTGTTAGACTGACTGGTCTGTAGTTACCTATGATACTTGTTAGACTGACTGGTCTGTAGTTACCTATGATACTTGTTAGACTGACTGGTCTGTAGTTACCTATGATACTTGTTAGACTGACTGGTCTGTAGTTACCTATGATACTTGTTAGACTGACTGGTCTGTAGTTACCTATGATACTTGTTAGACTGACTGGTCTGTAGTTACCTATGATACTTGTTAGACTGACTGGTCTGTAGTTACCTATGATACTTGTTAGACTGACTGGTCTGTAGTTACCTATGATACTTGTTAGACTGACTGGTCTGTAGTTACCTATGATACTTGTTAGACTGACTGGTCTGTAGTTACCTATGATACTTGTTAGACTGACTGGTCTGTAGTTACCTATGATACTTGTTAGACTGACTGGTCTGTAGTTACCTATGATACTTGTTAGACTGACTGGTCTGTAGTTACCTATGATACTTGTTAGACTGACTGGTCTGTAGTTACCTATGATACTTGTTAGACTGACTGGTCTGTAGTTACCTATGATACTTGTTAGACTGACTGGTCTGTAGTTACCTATGATACTTGTTAGACTGACTGGTCTGTAGTTACCTATGATACTTGTTAGACTGACTGGTCTGTAGTTACCTATGATACTTGTTAGACTGACTGGTCTGTAGTTACCTATGATACTTGTTAGACTGACTGGTCTGTAGTTACCTATGATACTTGTTAGACTGACTGGTCTGTAGTTACCTATGATACTTGTTAGACTGACTGGTCTGTAGTTACCTATGATACTTGTTAGACTGACTGGTCTGTAGTTACCTATGATACTTGTTAGACTGACTGGTCTGTAGTTACCTATGATACTTGTTAGACTGACTGGTCTGTAGTTACCTATGATACTTGTTAGACTGACTGGTCTGTAGTTACCTATGATACTTGTTAGACTGACTGGTCTGTAGTTACCTATGATACTTGTTAGACTGACTGGTCTGTAGTTACCTATGATACTTGTTAGACTGACTGGTCTGTAGTTACCTATGATACTTGTTAGACTGACTGGTCTGTAGTTACCTATGATACTTGTTAGACTGACTGGTCTGTAGTTACCTATGATACTTGTTAGACTGACTGGTCTGTAGTTACCTATGATACTTGTTAGACTGACTGGTCTGTAGTTACCTATGATACTTGTTAGACTGACTGGTCTGTAGTTACCTATGATACTTGTTAGACTGACTGGTCTGTAGTTACCTATGATACTTGTTAGACTGACTGGTCTGTAGTTACCTATGATACTTGTTAGACTGACTGGTCTGTAGTTACCTATGATACTTGTTAGACTGACTGGTCTGTAGTTACCTATGATACTTGTTAGACTGACTGGTCTGTAGTTACCTATGATACTTGTTAGACTGACTGGTCTGTAGTTACCTATGATACTTGTTAGACTGACTGGTCTGTAGTTACCTATGATACTTGTTAGACTGACTGGTCTGTAGTTACCTATGATACTTGTTAGACTGACTGGTCTGTAGTTACCTATGATACTTGTTAGACTGACTGGTCTGTAGTTACCTATGATACTTGTTAGACTGACTGGTCTGTAGTTACCTATGATACTTGTTAGACTGACTGGTCTGTAGTTACCTATGATACTTGTTAGACTGACTGGTCTGTAGTTACCTATGATACTTGTTAGACTGACTGGTCTGTAGTTACCTATGATACTTGTTAGACTGACTGGTCTGTAGTTACCTATGATACTTGTTAGACTGACTGGTCTGTAGTTACCTATGATACTTGTTAGACTGACTGGTCTGTAGTTACCTATGATACTTGTTAGACTGACTGGTCTGTAGTTACCTATGATACTTGTTAGACTGACTGGTCTGTAGTTACCTATGATACTTGTTAAACCGACTGGTCTGTAGTTACCAATGACACTTGTTAAACTGACTGGTCTGTAGTTACCTATGATACTTGTTAGGCTGACTGGGTCTATAGTTACCTATGGTCCTTGTTAAACTGTCTGGTCTGTAGTTACCTATGATACTTGGTAGACTGACTGGGTCTATAGTTACCTATGGTACTTGTTAAACTGCCTGGTCTGTAGTTACCTATGATACTCGTTAGACTTACTGGTCTGTAGTTACCTATGATACTTGTTAGACTGACTGGGTCTATAGTTACCTATGGTACTTGTTAAACTGTCTGGTCTGTAGTTACCTATGATACTCGTTAGACTGACTGGTCTGTAGTTACCTATGATACTTGTTAAACTGACTGGTCTGTAGTTACCTATGATACTTGTTAAACTGACTGGTCTGTAGTTACCTACTTATCTCCCTTCTTGAAAATAGCTGTAATCCTTCCCTCTTTCCAAGCTTATGCATGGCACACAACCAGAACATAATGATTGATTTAAAAGTATTTGAAATTGTTTAGTTATTACCGGCTCAAGTTCTTTCAATAATTGATTATGGTGATCTGTACAGCTTGGTTACAGGATGTATTTGGCCCGTGCTGGCGTTTTACAGGATGTATTTGGCCCGTGCTGGCGGTAATGTATACACAGTCACGGCATACACAGTTTCAATGGGAGCGAATGTAAATATATGTTATTTATGACCCGTGTTGACATTATTCATTATGCTAATATGATCTGTTATGCTTTATGATGTTAATAGCATATGTTGGCTTTATTTCTGAATACGTGGTGCATATGGTATGTATCGACGTTAGTTAGATTAGATAGTTTCTATTTGACTGTAAAGTGGATGTATTTGGCCTGTGTATTGGTGATTTTTTATATAAATGATCTGTGATGCTTGTTTATATTGCATGCTTTGGTATTATTCAGATAAAACGGCCTGCGTTGGCGTAAGTTAATCAAATTTTACAGTAAAGTTGATTTCTTTCGCGTGGCTAATATTTCGCAGTTGTCCTGTTTAAAACTTTTGGAATAGATATGGTAACTGCCTCCCGATGTTGTGCGTACAAGTAGTATTTTTTTATTCTGACCCTTTTATTGATTTATTCTGACCCTTTTATTTAAGGGAGTTTTGGCCCTTTTTTGAAAAAAACATTTGTCTGCCTCCTAAACTTCTTGGCCAATTTCAATGACAGTTTACAGATATTAATTACCCCCCGGTGTCGTGCATCAGGGTTACTAGGTGGTGGTTTTTTATTTCGACCCTTTTAAAGGAGTTATGGCCCTTTGTTAAAAACCTTTGTCCTGATCATTCTTCCCTAACTACTAGGACGATTTCAGCAAAACTCGTTCATCAGGGCTAACAAGATTTGGTATGCAAGTTTCTTTTGGCATGAGCAGGAAGAATGTCAGTGACCTATATACTTAAATAAGTGTACAGCTCAGTAAATTAAGAAATCATTACTTGTGGGAGACTATGGATTGCTTTGCAATGCTTTGCCTTACTTAGCCTTTAGCTTACAGTTCTGCTTTATGTAGGAGCAAAATAAATAATCTTTTAAGAACAATAAATGAATTCTGTAGAATAAAATGTATATACCCTAGAATTTAAAAAAAATCATCTGCAAATACAACACAGTCTCATTTCATAAGAATATATATTTTTGAAAATCATATTACTTAACATAAAAATTAACCTTGTCAGATTAACAAAATATAGACAGGCCGAGCAAAGACAGTTTGCATATCCCAATATCACAGTCCTTGAAAAGCTCGCTGAATAAGTTGCCATGGTAATGTTACTTTCGCCGTCGACGACAGCCATTATGGTTTGCATCTAGATGGAGAAAATCTGCTACAAATGTCCGAAAGATACGGTTAAAGTTTTCAGTAACCGCATAATCAATTGCCTTGCCATTGTCCGACATCTTGTGCCAAACTTTAGGGAATGGATATGAGATCAGATGCAGTATGGGAACACCTGAAAATGTAAAAAGACGAAAAACATCTATTCAATAAGATTCATCAGTTTGGAAATATATAATATCAAGGTTTTACTTTCTACACAAACAATGTACGTATTAAACATGCCGCAACGTTTCAAGACCGATTGGTACTTTTGTCAAAGCTATGAATAAGTCACAAATTTTTCATTTAAGCTCGCCTCAATTGAAAAATTCTTCGACATGTTTCACAAATTTCATATGAAATGAAAACTCATGTAAGATCCTATATATAGTTATGAACTAAAAATAATAATTAAACAACCCTACAAAGACGTCTACAGATTAGAACTTCCTTGCTGCATTTCATAGCAACAATTACATAGTGGTTTGATGGTAATCCTGGGCGAAAGGAAGTCCATGCCAGTGTGAGTGCTTATTTAATAACAAGAATAGATTTTGGAAAATTAATGCACAACTTATTAACAATGATTGATGTAAAGGAAAAGGAAATCCAAAATTTAATTGCAATGTTCTCCGATTTGCAACATGTTGATGACAGACTAAATAGTGGAATAGGACCTTAAACTACAGTGTAACCTTTCTGTAATCATTTTGTGTTTGGAATCTGATTTACCTCTCTTCTCAAAAGGTTTATGGTCATCCTCTATACCGCCACCCATAAAACCGCTGTATCTACTTGAGTGAAATAGCTTTTGGCGTCTTTCGAGTCCCGTTGAATTCAGGAATTTTTTCTCAGTCAATGTTTCTTCTGTTAGAAAAAAGAAATATCACAAATATCAATATTGAATTATATTATTTTTAACTCCCTTTAGCATTACGTCTCTGTCAAAAAGATCACTGCAGCGCTTTAAACCATTATAAAATGTGAATGCTAACAACAGATGTTTTCTAATCAAGCCTACTATATTGGAGTTATCGGCTCAGAAGGCCTGTAACACTCACCTGGATACGTGATAATTAAGAAATATTCCTGTTAATTACAATGCTGGCCTAAAGGATGTCTTATAGTAATCTCGTTGACATATAATCTACTGTTCAGGGGAGAAGGCTTTCAAATTCATAAAACACCCTAATTACCCTGTTTTTGCCCAGTCAAGTGGAGCTACATTCTTCCTTTACAAATAACTGCATGATTCCCAGGTCAAAAGGGTCGAGGAAATATGGTTTGTTTATATTTATGTGCATATGGTCATATAGGGAATGATATCACCTGTTTGCATGTTATGACTCGGAGACCATTTCTCCAGGTTTTCCTGGTAGCACGACTGTTTGTCTCTTTATGCCAGCAAGCACATAAAGGTTACTGTAATTAGATCTCAACCATTTTTAACTTAATTTCTTCCCCTGGCATTCCAGGTCACCAACACCATTTTGCCAGGTCCTTGGACTGTTGCATGCAAACATGTGAACAGATGTTGCTTTTGCCTGATGTTACAGCCTCCAGAGTCATTGTCAGTTGGAAGGGGATTAAGTGACCGACAGCTCCCAGATTGCTATCAAGGTACAGGAAGGCCATTCTTTTTCTTTATTGCATGGTCCCAACACATATTTTTTAACAGTTTTAACATATAATTCACATATATCATAATTTATATAGTTTCTACTGTTGTCGAGAAAAAGGTTAATATTTAAGCCATTCAACTTAGTATGGCAAATAAGATCCCAGAGATAGGGCAAGTTCTCAGGGTGAATCCTGGTATTATATATGTATAAAACTGTTCATGCTCAGCAATAGTATGTATTGTAATAGGGTAAAGATCTCAAATGTTACTGCCCTGGGACAAAGTAAGGGTGGGAGCCAACCCAAGGGACAAAGTAAGGGTGGGAGCCGACCCTAAGGGACAAAGTAAGGGTGGGAGCCGACCCCAAAGGACAAAGTAAGGGTGGGAGCCGACCCCAAGGCCGATTCTTGAAGCATGATTATGTTTGTCTCTTTATGCAAAGCAATTTTATATAAGGTTATGGGGTGGATATTTCATCTGTTTCAAAGTTATGATCCAGGGACTAAGTCTCCAAGGGTGGGGCCAGATCCCAAGTCAATCTTGGTAGCATATGTGTACATGTTTCTTTATACCAATCAATTGTATATCATATCTTGTGGATCTCAAATGTTAAGGTTCCATATCAAACTTGGTTAATTTCCAATCAGTGATTAAGAAGGAAATGTTTGAAGAAATTGCTTCAGACCAGGTGAGCTTATAAGGTAGTCATAGTAAAATTGCACACATAGGAAATAAAAATAAGCGATATCAGAGATTTTATAACATTCACGGACAAACGTATTCTGCCATTAACAGAACCTGGTTAGGTTCACATATTAAATACCAGGTACTATCTGAGCTAATACCAACTGGAAATGAATTCCTCCACTATGTTACCCTCAACAGTGCTTCCTAAGAAATAGCGATAACAAACTTTCACTGTAAAAATCCAAGATAGCTGCATGTCGACCATTTTGTTTATCTGGTCATTCTCAAAATTAAACATGCACAACAAGGTGGCTTAGATACCAAGTGATAATTAATTGATAATAATTTGAGGTTCTTATATACCGCTTTATCACAACCTAATTCGTAGGTCGTCTCAAAGCGGTTCACAAATTAATATCCGTAGTTATAGGGCCTTTGCAACCAGACAATACTTTTCTCAACTCCCTGGATAGCATACAGCCGGAGCTGCCATTTCGGCGCTAACAGCTAGCATTCAACAATTCTAGCCCTGCCCAACCACGAACTCATTTACAGCTGAGTAGACTGGAACAAGATACAACACATTGCCGTGCCGTGGCGCGAACCCGCAACCCTTCGGTCATGAGGTTGAATTACTCCTTATTTTTGAGCTAAATATACTAGCCTATTACACCAAGTAGTCGACAAACACCCTCATTACAAGAGACTGATAACCTTGTTTGTTGGTTTACCCACGTCAGTGATAGTAGATATAAAAATAAAATGTCCGGGAGCGTGATATAAAATGTTAAAACCAAAAAAAAAAAAAAAAAAAAAAAAAAAAAACATGCACAACTACAGAACAAGGGGAATCTACATGTTAAATTTGAGAAAGATCTCTCCAGTACTTATTGAGAAATATTGATAATAAACATTCACTGTCAAAATCCAAGATGGCTGCCTGTCCGCCATTTTGTTTATCTGATCATTCTCAAAATTAAACATGCACAACTACAGACCAAGGGGAGCCTACATAACAAATTTAGGAAAGATCCCTATCATACTTCCTGAGAAATAGCGCTAACAAACCTTTAATGTCACAATCCAAGATAGTGGCCTGTTGGCCATTTTGTTTATTCGATCAGTAATAAAATTAAACAGGCACAACTACAGACCAAGGGGAACCTACATATAAAATTTGAGAAAGATCCCTCCAGCACTTTCCGATAAATAGCCATAACATACCTTCACTGTCAAAATCCAAGATGGCTGCCTGTTGGCCAAAATTTGAGAAAGATCTCTCTGGTATTTCCAGAGACGGCCGCCTGCATGGAAGGCCTAAGTGTTACCACCCAACCAATCCGCCCATTGGAAGATATATTGTATAGAAAAAATATATCTGTCAGAGGGTAGTTATGTAAATTGCCTTAGCAACCATCCTTAAACCTGCCACTGAAATATAGTTGTGATTGTGTGATTGAAACTTGAGGTTCCCTGTGAAACTTTATTGTTATTAGTAACTCCATCAACTAATTTTATTTATGTACATGTACCCCACAACGATGTCACAATTCATTACTATACCACCAGGCCAGCTGTATATACCAGCTACATGTAACTGAATAACCCCTAAGCTGTTGGTGTGGCGAACACAGTAGACACAGGGGATTGGGGGCATGTACAAACTATCTAAATCTACCATGTATATGTGTACCTGATGTATATATATATATATATATATAACAAACATATCAAAATCAGACTAACTCATTTCTTTTTTTCTAAATCTCCCTATAACAGACTACTTCAGATAACAAACTTGAAATGAGAAACCTTTCATGCGAGTTTAACTATGGTAAACTATTTCCTTTATAAGTACAGATATCTATCGATATTTCTATAATCACCAGAGATGGTATACAATTTCTCTTTGTTCATGTACATGTATATTTCAGTTGAAATTTTAAGTAGTTAGAAAAAATATGTATATAGATATTGATTTTATGAGTCAATCAGTTAAATGATTTTTTTTATCACAGCACAACAAGCCCCTGTCGTTAAATCAAGCAAAATGTAATAAATATTGTCAATCCTGTTTGAAGAAGACCTACCGTAAAAACCCATGTAATTTGCACACTTTTTTTCCAGAAATTTAATACCCAAAGTGGGGGGTGCGTAAAATACACAGGTATAGAAAATTTCAAGTTTTTTTCAGGAAAATATCGACGATTCTGGGAGATCGCCATCTTGGATTATTTCCCTTGGTACACGGAACTCTAAGACAAATGACGGTCAACAAATTTATTTATGTCAAACATTAATAAAAGATACATAATGTGTTGTTATGTGAGTTTATGTGAAAAGTATTATTAAATAGGTAGGTAACCGTTAACAAAAAAAGTTTAGCCAAATTCCTATGCCAGAGAATCGCCGATCAACTTACGACATTACGTTTCGACATCTCGGTGCGTTTCCCCATACTATTACGAAAATGTAGTTGTTCAATTTAAGCTCCGTTCCATGTAAGTTCTGTAAGGTTTTTTCAAATCGCCTATGCGTATACGTATAGCATGTTTTTTTCCCCGCTCACTTTCATGTTGATCTCGCGTCTAACATTACGTAAACACGTGATTGATAATAACCTCGTGAATTATTTCAATATTTATTAAATGAAGCATCGTAAAAATAGTCTG